CGGACCCCGCAAAACCCCCCCTGGGCACCCTCAAATCTCCCCCAGACCCCCCCGGACCCCCCAAAACCCCCTAAAGCCCTCCCAAAGCCCCCCCTGTCTCCCCCGGACCCCCCCAAATCCACCCCGGTCACCCCCGGGGGGAGACCCCTCCGAGGAGTTTTGGGGGGAAAAGGGGGAGCCCCCAACCCACAATGGGGGGGGGGTTTGGGGATCCCCCAAAATTAAGGGGGGGGAGGAGCGAGACCCCCACTAATCCAAAATCGAGGGGTCCCACCCCCGGCTCCTCCCCAGATCCCAAAAAGTGGGGGGACCCCTCCCCAAAATGCGATTTGGGGGGGGGGGGCGGATTGTCCCACCCCTCAGAAATGGGGGGAGGGGGCACTAGGGAGGGGACAATTTTGAGGGGACATTTCTGGGAGTCCCACGCCTGTTTTGGGGGGACATTTTTGGGGTACATTTTTGGGAGGGGGCACGCCTGTTTTGGCGACATTTCGGGGGTCCCAAGCCTGTTTTGGGGATAATTTTGGAGGGACTTTGGGGGGCCGGCCATGCCTATTTTGGGGGGACATTTTTGGGGGTCCCACGCGTGTTTTGGGGACATTCTCGGGGTCCTCACCGCATTTCTGGGGGGTCCCACACCACCTCCAGGCCATTTTTGGTGGGGCGTGGATCCCGCCCAGTCTCGAGGACACTTTTGGGGGTCTCCCCCTCCCCTCCACGCCCACCCCTCCCGCGGGGGGGGGTCCCCGCGTGCCCCCCGCCGCCGCCCCCCCCGATCGAAGCCCATTTCGGGCCGCGCCGCCGCAGCTGGTTTCAAATTTGATCAGCGATGAACTTTATTTTCCGAGTTTGAGGAAAATTATATCCATCGATCCGCCGGCCCCGCTCGGCCGCTACTTAAAGCCCGGCCCCGGCGGCGCGGCCCCGGAGCCTTCGTCCCGCTCCTCTTCCTCCTCCTCTTCCTCCTCTTTCCCGTTTTCCTCTTCCTTCTGCTCTTCTTCCTTGTCTTGCCGTTCTCCTCTTCCTCCTTCCCTGCTCCTCTTCCTCCGATCCCTCCATCCCTCCTCTCCTCCTCCTCCTCTTCCTCCATCCCTCCTCCTCCTCCTCTGCCCCGTCCCTCTCTCCTCCCTCCCTCTC